TTCGAATCCACAAAACCCTCTAATTTAACATTTTCAGTATGTTTTCCAAACACAAGACCAACATTTATTGTACCAACTAAGTATCTAAAAATCCATTTCAATGCATGCCAATGTTCTAAACTAGGGTTCGACATATACCTACTTAAAAGACTAATAGCATAAGCTAAATCTGGCCTAGTGCTAACCATTAAGTACATTCTATAACCTATTGCATTAGAATATGGTGCATGTTTCATGTATTCAAAATCAGATTCCGACTTAGGACATTGATCCCTACTTAACACAAAATTAGAAGCCATAGGAACAGAAACAGATTTAGCATCACTCATAGAAAACTTCTTAAGAATTTTTGAAATATAAGTAGACTGATTCAAAAACAGTCTTGAATTTTTTCTATCCCTAGTGATATACAGGCCCAAAAGTACTTTGGCATCACCCAATAGTTTCATGTCAAAATTATCACATAAACACTTAGTCACGTGATCAATAAGCTTTAAAGATTGACTAATAACCAACGTATCATCAACATAAATGAGAAGAAAAATAGGTTGGTTTTTAACAGTCTTAAAATACAAACAATAATCAAATTTGCTTTTAATAAAATCAAGATTTTTCATACAATTATCAAATTTGATATTCCATTGTCTAGGTGACTGTTTTAACCCATGCAAAGATTTATTTAACAAATAAACATGATTTATTTTGTTTTTATCACCAAAACCTTCAGGTTGTTTCATATAAATCTTCTCATTTAATTCACCATGCAAAAAAAGCTGTTTTAACATCCAATTGTTTTAGCTCCCAATCATAAAATGCAACTAGAGCTAACATGACTCTAACAGCGGTAAATTTGACAACAAGGACAAAAATTTCATTATAATCTATTCCTTCATTCTGGGTAAAATCCTTAGCTACTAATCTAGCTTTAAACCTAATTCCACTATCTTCTTGTTTAACTTTATAAATCTATTTACAATCAACAAGAGAACAATTAAGAGGTTTATGAACCAAATACACTAAATGTCTTAGGTTCATTACTATCTAAATTCTCAAATACACTAAAAGCCAAATAAGACAAATCAAAATCACCAAACCTAGTAGGCAACCTAGGGATTCTCCTACCCCTATCTCTAGTCAATTGATAATTTTCTATCTCATTTTGATTAATATTATCAAAATCAAATTCATTTTGACTATTATTATCAAAATCAGATTCCTTTTGATTTTCAGAAATGCTATTATCATTTTCAATAACAGTTTCCTCTCTCACAACAGTATCTACACGAATTTCAGCATCATTTTCCATATTTTCTACTCACCTATACTAACAATATTATACTCCACCTCATTTGGAATATTACTGAATCTAGATTTTCAATATTAATCTCAGATTTATCCAAAATAGATTTATCAATATTTAAACATGGAATCTCATTTTCATTGAAAACAACATCTCTACTAATAATAGTTTTAAAACCAGGCCTAGATCTTAACCATAATCTATAACCCTTAACTCCTTCCGGATAACCCAAGAAAACACATTTTTCAGCTCTAGGGTCTAATTTGTTATTATTAACACGTATAAAAGCAGAACACCCAAATACCCGAATATTTGAAAAATTAATTTTTCTACCAGTCCACTTAAATTCAGGACAAGCACCATTCAAAGGAATTGAGGGTGTTCTATTGACTATATAAGCTGTTGTCATAACAGCTTCCCCCCAGAATATTTTAGAGAAACCGGATGAAGCCAAAAGGGTTCGAACTCTCTCCAAGAGAGTCCGGTTCATCCTCTCAGCCACCCCATTCTGCTGGGGTGTATAGAGGACAGTCCTATTTCTATTTATATTATTTTCTTGACAAAAATCATCAAACCAGGAGTTGCAAAATTCTAAACCATTATCAGTTCTTAGATATTTAATTTTCTTTCCAGTTTGATTTTCAATTTTACTTTTCCAATTTTTGAAAATATCAAACACATCCGATTTATTGTTCATAAGAAATACCCATGTTTTTCTAGAAAAATCATCAATAATGGATAAAAAATATCTAGACCCACCATGTGTGGGCTTACTAGCTGGGCCCCATACATCAACATGTAAATAATCCAATACAGATTTAGATAATTCACGTTTTTCATACAATCATTTCCCCATTTTCCTTATAATTCTAAATATGATAAAGCAGCACAAGATAGCAAATTATTTGATAAACCAGGAACATGCCTCACATTGTTTAATTTTAACACAAAACCAGTGTTAAATTTTAAATTTACACTACCAATTCCAAGCACATTAGAAACACTATTATCATCCATGGAAACAGTGCAATTTTCTAAAATTTTGTATTCACAAAAAATCGATTTTAATGGAGTCATATGGTAAGTGCATCCAGAATCAATAAGCCATTCATTCATACATACATTGTTCACATTCAAACAGTCGACAATAATAGTAAATACATCACCACAATTTCGATCAAGTAATGTCATATTGGCTAACTTATTAACATGTTGTTGGCTACCATTGTTATTACTGGTTGTAGTGTTATTGTTCTTCCTTTTAGTACACTCACGTATAACATGGTTAGGATCACCACAATTATAGCATCTTCCACCCCTTTTATTTGGAGTTCTAGATCTATTGTTTCTTCTACTTTTAGATCTATATTTATTTCTATTATATTGGTTTTTATTACTATTATTACTATATCCAGAATTACCCTTTTTATTTGATCTAAAAGGAGACCTTCCTCTATTATACATGACTTCACCCTTATTAGACTTATGAATTTGTAATTATAGTTCTTTAGATTTTAACCCATTAATGACTACATCTAATGTCACAAAATCACACCCATATTTGATAGCAGATTTCATATCCATGTATGAGTTATGTATTGCATTTAACAAAACTATAGCACTATAATCATCAATTTTTATCACCAATAAGTTTTATATCTTGTATTAGTTTTGAAAAATTATCCAGATTTTCATCAATTGATTTTGACTAATCAAGTTTAAAACTAAATTTTTTTTCTAACAAATACAACCTACTATGAAGTGAAGTTTGAGTATATAGTTTATCCAATTTGTTCCATAATTCTAAAGCAGATTCTTGTTTTCCTACTTTTCTAATTACATGATCTGCTAAATTAAGTATTATAATAGAGTAAGTCATTTCATCTAACTCAGTCCTCCCCTTTAAAGGAACTTGAGCTACATGATCCGGCTCAACTGCTCTAATTATTCTTTGAGTGACTAAAATGTTTCTCATTTTTTGTTTCCAAATTGCAAAGTCCATTTTCCCATCAAAAGGTAGAATATTAAAGCTAGAATTACCAGCCATTTTGTTGTTTTAATAAAAATATAATTTAATTTAAAAACCAATTCTGTTTTTAAATTTCAGAAAATTATTTATTTTAATTTTCACAAAAACAGACTATATATGGCAAGCAAATCACACGAAAATAAACAAACACAAATTATCACAACAAGCAAGTAGACAATCAAAGAAAATATATCACCTAAGTATTACAACATACATTCGTGACTATTCAACCGAGGTACTCGAGAATCACTCACAAAGTGAGGTTCGGAGTTTAGTAACATTGGTTTCACAATAGCCTTTACGATTTATTTTTGGGAGTAAAATTTAAATGCAGAAATTAAAACAAACACAAAACAATAAATAATGTGAGTTAAGGGGTTACCCTTGTAGCACAGCAACAAAAATTTATATTCCTACAAAATAGTAGAAAATTCACAAAAAACAAACCTATTCTCATTTGTAGAAAATAGGGGTTAGCCAAAATAGTTTCACAAAAATAGAAAACAAACACAAATATGTTTATCTTCCAACAAATTGTTAGAATCCCCGAAACAGATCGAATGATACACAATGCTGACCAAACAAAAAAAAAACGAACACAAACAAACAAGGCTTAAAGATTTTGAAGATTTCAAACGAGATTTAGTTTGAAAAATACAAAGATCTTCAAAAAAAATATTTATCAAATTTTTTAAGATTTAAAAAATCTTTTAAATTTTGACACCACAATTCTAAATCCGCAAGGATGTTTAACAAAATTTTACAAAAACAGAGGCAATTTTGTTAAGTTAATCTCAAACCTAAGCATCTATTTTTGGCATAGTGACAAAACCACTTTTTACTGAAGTGGTTGTTAGTTTACAAAAACAACAACTCTAGACTTGCTGGTGGAGTCCAATCAAGCAGTCCATTGGTCCCTTCAAGTTTGGTGGCTGCTCAAGACAAAATGGACATCTTGAATTTGTCCTTTTGTAATCAGAACTGATTTGATACAACATCATTCCTTGGTTGGAGCAAAGGGAATTTATTGCATGTTATTTCATGGCTGTTGTGTGTGTTTTTAACATTGCTTGAGATTTGTGGGAAGACGTAGAAGTGTGATTGGTGAGAGAGTGTAGTAAGAGAATTATTGTGTTTATCCTCTCAACCACTTCTTTTCCCACCCCCATGCACTAAGTGAGTGATTTACTTTATTATCCTGCCGGAGAGGTTTAGTGATCGAAGGAAGATCGGAGTTCCGATCAGGGGAACATTCGAACTCCGAGCAGCCCAGCTCTGTGTTAGTTGTTAGTACGCGTTTGTAACAACTTATGGATGTGGAGGGAATTTCCTAGGTAATTAATTTTTAGTTTGGGTTGGTGGAGGTTTGGGTGTTTCGTTATTAATCAATACTGATTAATGGACATCTCTTGGATTGGTATCCCCCGGATGTAGGATGGTTTATATCCGAACCGGGTAAACAAATAACTTGTCATTTATTGCTTTGAAATCCTTTCATTTATTTCATTGACAAGTCGGTGTTATAACTGCGATATAACTACGCTTTGGGAGTTGGCCCATTTGAATAAGTGTACGAGGATTTATTGGTGTAGCACTTACCTCCATCCCAACATTTGGTATCATAGCAGTGTTCTCTAAGTTGCTGAGTAGATTCTTTCACAGTTTGCAAAGATGAGTAAAAAAGGTAGATCTACGTCGAGACCTCCACTATTTGATGGAACAAGTTATCGAAGTTGGAAGAACAAAATAGAAGCCTTTATGATGTTACAAGGTGAAGATGTTTCTGAAGCTGTTGAATCTGCATGGTCTCATCCCATAAAGACCATCAAAGATGAAGACAATATCATCTCTCTTGTGAAGAAACAAAAAAGAGAATTGACTCTCAATGAAAAGGCTGCTGCAATCGCTAACTCGAAAGCTCTTTTTTCGATCTTCAACACTGTAGATGAATCTCAAGAGAAGCTAATATCCAACTGCAAAGTTGCTAAGGAAGCATGTGACATTCTGGAAAATGCATTCGAAGGTTCTGTACAAGTTCGAGAATCAAAGCTGGATCATGTTGAAACTTTGTTTGAAGGACTGAAGATGAATGAAGATGAAACTATTGTTGTTTATCATAACCGATTCATGGATGTTGTGAATCAAGCTGAAGCTCTTGGAATGCACTTTGAAGAAAAGAGACTGGTGAGGAAGATGCTTAAAAGTCTCACAAAAAATTTTAGGCCCAAGGTGATTATGCTCGATGAACCACCAAAACTGAGAAATATGACATTGGATGAATTGTATAGTACTTTGGTGGGCTATGAAATGAACTATCTCGAAGACGAAGCACCCAAAAGTGTGGCTCTGAATGCTGAAGACTTGGAGATGATAGAGTCTAATGAAGAAATGGCACTACTGAGCCGTAAACTTTCTCGAATGAGCAGTGAGAAACGAGCTGCCAAGCTGAAGTTTGGGAAGTTTCAAAACAGAAATAGCTATCAGGGAGGAGGTACATCCAGCTCTCAACGAAAGTACCCTGAGCCGAAACCAACTACATACAGTAAGACAAAAGAAAGATTCGATGGTGGATTTAAGAAGAAGTTTGTGGTTCTGCAAAACCAGAGACAGTTCAAGAACCCACCTGTTATGGATGTGGTGGTGTTGGACATATTAAATCTGAGTGCCCAATGGTAAAGAAAAATGAGAAAAGAGCATATCAAGCTACCTGGAGTGACAATGAAGATGGTGAATCTGCTGGTGGTGATGAGCAGACTGAGAATCATGAAGTTGTTGCATTCATGGCAAATGCTGATGAATCCAGTGATGAAAAAGAAGAATTTAGTTCTAAAAATACTGTTGAGTCAAGGGAACTTGATGCCGATGAGTTGATTGAGGCTTATGAGGAGATGGTAGTCGAACAAAAGAAAGCTGTTGTGAAAAATAAAGAACTTCTGGATACCATTTATCGTTTGGAGGATCAAAAGGAGAAACTTGAAGATGAACTTGAGAAGTTGATTAAGATTACTGATAATAAATTTGCTGAGACAGAGAGGTTGAAGTCAGAGAATCTGAAGTTGAAGGATGAAAATGATAGACTTCGGAAAGGAAAGGAAAAATTAGATGAAGTCCTTTCAATTGGTAAATCATTTGGTGATCACAAAGGATTAGGTTTTTGTGAATCATCTCAAAGTAAACCAACTACATTTGTGTGAGGTGGTCTGCTTACTGATGTCAAACTTCGAGAGAAGAAATCAACACAAGTCTGGAAACATAATCCAAGGAAGAGAAGAAGCAGAAACAGGAACAGAAACCGCAGAGGAATTCAAAATGATAAGTCGAAGCTGTCACAACCTACTGACTGTAAGTACTGCATGTATCCTGGTCATTCGGCTGAGAAATGCTTGAAGCTGGCAAAAGACGTTATCAATGGAAGACACATTCAATGGCCTACTGAAGGTTTCAAACAAAACATAAAATTCAAATTGGTGTGGATGCCTAAGGAAACTCAGAAACAGTTGGAGTGCAATATGATCTTGTCAAGCCAAGAGTTACCAGAGCTGATCGATGGTACTTTGATAGTGGTTGGTCAAGGCACATGACTAATCAAAAAGGAATTCTGAAGAATTTTGTCGAAGACCGAAGTGGAGAAGTCATGTTTGGAGATGGAGCAAAAGGAAAGATCAGTGGATATGGTGTTCTTGAAAAAGAAGGGATTCCAAGACTATCAAAAGTCTATTTCGTAGAAAGATTGAGTACAAATTTGATCAGTATAAGTCAACTATGCGATGATGATCTACATGTGAAGTTCACTAAGGATTCATATGAAGTTTATGATACTGCACAGAAATGTGTGATGACTGGAGTTCGATCAAATAACAATTATTAATTCCTGGAATATCCTCAAATGGAAGCATTGATATTGAATGATGATGAATCTATGTTGTGGCACACCAGATTGGGTCATGTCAATCCACAGAATTTGTTGAGGATCAACAAAATTGAAGCTATCAGAGGATTACCAAAATTTTCAAAGATTCCAAGTACTACTTGCGGTGACTGTGCAAGAGGAAAATAGAAGAGAGCTGTACATTCCTCATTGGAACAACGTTTTAGCAGCAACTGTCTGGAGCTGCTGCATATGGATCTCATGGGTCCAGTTGATGTCTACAGTCTTGGAGGAAATAAGTACATCTTGGTCTGTGTGGATGATTTCTCAAGATATACATGGGTCGATTTCTTACGTGAGAAAAGTGATGCATTTGATGCTTTTGAAAATCTGGGTACAAGACTCATGAATGAGAAGAAGTCAAAGATTGACAGATTGAGAACAGATCATGGAAAGGAATTTGAAAATCAGAGATTTGCTAGTTTTTGCAATGGATTGGGAATCAAGCATGAATTCTCTGCCCCAAAGACTCCACAACAAAACAGAGTAGTGGAGTGAAAGAATCGAACTTTACAAGAAATGGCTAGATCGATTATGCATGCCAAAGGAGTTGCCAAATATCTGTGGGCTGAAGCTATTAACACATACTGCTATGTGATTAATCGGGTTTACCTCAGACCTCATACAGAGAAAATAGCATATGAAATCTGGACAGGGAAGAAACCAAATGTCTCTTACTTTCATACCTTTGGGTGTAAGTGTTATATAATGAAGGACAGGGATCAACATTATAAGTTTGATACTCGATCAGATGAAGGCATATTCTTGGGATACTCTCTGAACTCGGGAGCTTATAGAGTATTCAACAATCGTACCAAGAAGGTGACGGAATCCATGAATGTGATATTAGATGATACCATTTCAGAAAAGAAATCTATACACTCAAATGATGATGATGATGAAACTGCACCTGTTAAGGTGACTCAGAATCAAATCATTCCTCATATTCAGAATGATCTGCCACAGACTGGTGACAATATTGCTACAGAAAGTTTTGTGAGATTTGATTGGTCAGAACCAGAATGTTCAACGGATGTAACAACAACCAATCAACAACCTGCTGAAACTGAATCTGATGCAGAAGTGAGAAAATACGGTTCCAGAGTTTCACACAATCATCCAATTGATGCAGTTATTGGTGATCCAATGGGTGGTCGACTGACTCGAGGTAAACAGATTGATTTCAAGAATCTATCTGGTATGAATTGCTTTATTTCTACAGTTGAGCCAAAGACAGTAGATGATGCTCTCAAGGATGAATACTGGATCAATGCAATGCAAGATGAGCTGAACCAGTTCACAAGAAATTGAGTATGGTATATGGTTGAAAGACCAACTGATGTGAATGTCATTGGAACTAAGTGGATCTTCAAGAAAAAATCTGATGAAAAAGGAAACGTTACCAGAAATAAGGTGAGGTTAGTTGCACAAGGGTACACACAAATTCAAGGTGTTGACTACGATGAAACATTCATCCCTGTTGCTCGTATTGAAGCAGTGAGATTGCTGGTGTCTGTTGCGTGTTCTTTGGGATTTACTCTCTACTAGATGGACGTCAAGACAACATTTTTGAATGGATGGATTAAAGAAAAGATCTATGTGGAACAACCAAAGGGATTTGAGGATCCTTTCCATCCAGATCATGTTTACAGGTTGCGGAAAGCTTTGTATGGATTAAAGCAAGCACCCAGAGCATGGTACAAAAGATTGTCCAATTATCTGCTGAAGAATGAATACGTTCGAGGATCAACTGATAAGACGATGTTTATCAAGTTGAAAGGAAAAAATTTAATGATTGCACAGGTGTATGTTGATGGTATTGTGTTCGGTTCCACCGTTGAATCCTTGAAGAATGAATTTGTGAAATTCATGGAAGCTGAATTCGAAATGAGCATGATAGGTCAGCTTAATTACTTTATGGGATTGCAGGTTAAACAACTTGCAGATGGTGTCTTTCTGAGTCAAAAAAAGTATGCTCAGAACATGGTTGAGAAGTTTGGACTTCGAGATTCAAAAGGAGTTAGAACTCCTTTGGGACAACAATAAAAATTGTCGAAAGATGATGATAGAAAGACAGTTGATCATAAACTGTATAGAAGCATAATTGGGAGTCTCTTTTACTTAACTGCAAGTCGTCCAGACATCTCTTTCAGTGTTGGTGTATGTGCAAGAGTTTAATCTACACCTAAGGAATCACATCTGAAGGCTGCAAAGAGAATTCTCAGATATGTTAAAAGAACTGCAGAGCTTGGATTGTGGTATTCGAACAGGTCTGGTGTTGATATCATCGGGTTCACAGATTCGGATTGGGCTGGCTGTTGTGATGATAGGAAGATCACAACTGGTGGATGCTTTTATATTAGAGATAATATTGTGAGCTGGAGTTCGAAGAAGCAAAATTCTATTGCGTTGTCCACTGCCGAGGCTGAATACATAGCTGCTGGAAGTTGCTGTGCTCAATTGCTATGGATTCGACAAATGCTGCATGATTATAGGATTGGTCAAGATTCATTCACTCTGTTTTGTGACAATACAAGAGCCATCAATATCTCCAAGAATCCCGTTCAACATGGAAGAACAAAGTACATCGACATACGGTACCATTTCATTGGAGACTTGGTGGAAAATGGAGTATGCGATTTGAAGCATATTAGAACTACTGATCAAAAGGCTGATATTCTTACGAAAGGGCTGGATGCCGATTGATTCGATAAGCTACGAAGGGAGTTGGAATTGGTGTTTCAGAGGGAAGTTGAATATAGAATTCGAACAGCTCAGTCGTCTCCCTCATCTCTTATGAATTCATATATCGTTATTTGCATTGGTGAGAATAATTTCTCTCCCTCTCAAGTTCTCTCTACTCTTCATCCTTACGATTTTCTCTCTGAGAGAACAATGGTGCGAACACGATTCGGAGGGGAAACACGGACTGGCAGAGAAGTGGCTCGTGGGCGTGGACGACAGAGGAACTGAGGTCGTGGGCATCGTGGTAGCAAAATCAGTTCTTCCCCTGATCACAGTGAACCAGTCAGTGAGATTCCAACTCCACCTGAAGCAATCGAGGAAGTTCAGGTTGCAGGTACTGACATTGTGACTCCGCACTCTCCTGGAGGTCACATATATGACGCTGAGGAAATTGTTCAAAAAACCCTCGAAGAAACGCAAGATGATGGCCCTGAGGATGGGACTTCTGGAGAACAAGAGACTGATCACGCTGAGGAAGAAGACGTGGGAAAGGAACAAGAGGTTGTTGAACCTGAACCCATAAATGTTGAGGAAGAAGCCTTGATACATTCTGAAGGAGCCCTGGAATCTGAAGAACAGAGGATCGAAGCGGTTGCTCCTCACATTCTCCTTGAGGAACCCGCGATTACACATGAAGGTGCGACTGATGACCATTCTCACTCTTTCTCAGATGAAAGTCTCAATACGATCATTGATAGAACTGTTGACAAACTCTTCTATGAGCGAATGGAACATGAAAACGTTGTGGTCACGCCGGCATCATCTGAGGCGGTAACCAAGTCTGATGATTACGACAATGCTCCTCTTGCCCAACTGAGAAAACGTCATGCCGAGAAACAAAGTAAGAAAAGGAAGGTCTCTGCTGACTCTCCCGGTCCTTCGAAGAAAAGAAGCAAGCAAGTGATTTCGAAGAAGAAAAACAAGCCAAAGAAATCAAAATCTCGTAAGCGGAAAGTTACACCCCCTCCAGTCACGGCTGAAGAAGCGATGGATGTAACCCATTTTGACGATGCTGCGGAGTTATTCGAGTACGACATTTTGGCCAATCGGAAGCTGGTACTAGAGGCTCGTTTTACCGATCTACTTCACAAAGACGTTGGTTTTCTTGCATTCCTGAGGATGAAAGGTCTGCTACACTGGGCAGTATCACTCAAACGTTACTGTCCGAAGCTAGTCAGGGAGTTCTATGCAAATTTCACACGGGATGTTTTGGATGAGGAAATTCCTTGGTTCCATAGAGCGTATGTGCGAGGAAAAATGATTGAGCTTAGCCCCCAAGTGATCAACAATTTGCAGAAACTTCCGACTGACAATCCAGAAGTATTTCCTTCTACCCTGATCAAAGAATCCAGAAGAGAGGTTGCACTACGGTTATCGGCATGGAAATCCGATGATTTTGGACGATCGGGCTTGGCTGCAACAGAACTGACCATGAAGTTTCAATGCCCGTTTCGTTTCTGCGCAATGAATGTTTTTCCCACAAGCAACGGGACTAACATTGGATATGAGATTGGTAAATTACTTCTTTGCATTGACAAATTTTGTGCTGACATCAACTTTGGTTTTGTTGTTATCTCAAGGATGATTAAGTATGCCCGGGGAAAATCTTTTGACAAGACCAACCTCCTATAGCCAGCTCTTATTACTCTTTTATTGAAAAAGAATGGCATTCTTCCGAAACCCACGGAAGACGTAATTCATACCACCTTCTTCAAGCCAAGGTCTAATTTCCAGAAACTCTTCAACGACTTCAAAGAACCCCTTCCAGCTGATCCGTCGGGACAACTTTTGGAAGCCCGAAGGTTACTTCTTGAAGTATTGCAGGAACAAGCTTCGATTTGTTCAACCTTAGGAGAACGTCGGAAGAAAATAATTCGTCCTCTTCACCTTCACCCAAGATTTGCCTCTGGCCCTGACGAGGAGGAGGAGATCCCTGACTTTCTCTAAGCTTCCCAGCCTTTTTTGGCATCTGTCCACGCAAGGGGGAGAGATGCAAGAGAGAGGGGGGAATGCTGCTGCTCCACCGGAGAGAAGGGGATCACCAAGAAAGGGGGAGTTTTGTTTTTGCATGCATGTTGTCATGACTAATTTACTGGTTACTGTCTGTTGTTGATTGCTTTTGGACTTCTGGTTGTTGGAACCCTGGTGGACCTTAATTTTGTTTTTGTAAAGGCTGCATGTAGCCTTATTTGGATTGATGGCCTGTAACCTAACCTTCACTTTCCTTTTAATTATGGATTAATTTGCTTGTGTGGGAGATTATCTCTTGCATTGTGTGTGTGGTCACATATGCCAAAAAGGAAGAGATTGTTAAGTTAATCTCAAACCTAAACATCTATTTTTGGCATAGTGACAAAACCGCTTTTTACTGCTGTGGTTGTTGGTTTAGAAAAACAGCAACTCTGGACTTGCTGGTGGAGTCCAATCAAGCAGCCTTGTCCCTTCAAGTTTGGTGGCTGCTCAAGACAAAATGGACATCTTGAATTTGTCCTTTTGTGATCAGAACTGATTTGATACAAAATCATTCCTTGGTTGGAGCAACGGAAATTTATTGCATGTCATTTCATGGCTGTTATGTGTGTTTTTAACATTGCTTGAGATTTGTGGGAAGAGGTAGAAGTGTGATTGTTGAGAGAGTGTAGTAAGAGAATTATTGTGTTTATCCTCTCAACCACTTCCTTTCCCACCCCCATGCACTAAGTGAGTGATTTACTTCATTATCCTGCCGGAGAAGTTTAGTGATCGAAGGACGATCGGAGTTTCGATCAGGGGAACATTTGAACTCCGAGCAGCCCAGCTATGTGTTAGTTGTTAGTACGCGTTTGTAACAACTTATGGCTGTGGAGGAAATTTCCTAGGTAATTAATTTGTAGTTTGGGTTGGTGGAGGTTTGGGTGTTTCGTTATTAATCAACACTGGTTAATGGACATCTTCTGGATTGGTATCCCCCGGATGTAGGATGGTTTATATCCGAACCGGGTAAACAAATAACTTGTCATTTATTGCTTTGAAATCCTTTCATTTATTTCATTGACAAGTCGGTGTTATAACTGTGATATAACTACGCTTCGGGAGTTGGCTCATTTGGATAAGTGTATGAGGATTTATTGGTGTAGCACTTACCTCCATCCCAACAAACTTAATCCGATTTACACTTATTATTTAAAGAAAGTTTGAAAACAAAAATCGTTTATAAAAAATAAAATGATTTTGTATCAAACTAACCAAATCTTGACACAAACTTAACCAAAACTACACAGATTTTTAGTGATGAAGTCACGATTAACACAAATCGCACTCGACCGAGGCTAGAAGCACCGATCGAGTGAGATTTCGGCTAGTTTTGAGCAGATCTACAAGGAAAAGAATCGGAACACATTATAATATTTTGATTCAACCAGATCCTTGATAGATCTAACGATTTACAACCAATATTAGATAGATCTACGAGGAAAAGAATCTAAAACACTTAAAATAATTCAACGCAACTAGATCCATTTGTAGATCTAAATATTTACAACCGAAAAACCTCAAAAACAAAAAGGTTTACTCGATTTCAAAGGCAAAAATACACCAAAATGCTCTGATACCATTAGTTTTGGTTTTGTAGGCTCAGCCCCAAAACCAACTCGAAAACTCAAAAATTAACACAAACATACTTAACAGCGACGAACACAACGACACCGGCCCAAGACCCAATCACACAGACCAAAAATATCCCCCACAAAAAAGATACAAGGCAATAGGAACAAAACCACACGCCTAACACATTGGACGAGCTTCTTTCGGCTACGAACAACACAAACAGGGGGAGTATTGTACTAAGGAACCCCACATAAATAGGAGGAAGGCACCGCCGTAGATCCACCGGAAGAAGTCGCTGGAAAAGAGGTCACGAGTGTGAGAGAGAGAGAGAGAGAAGGGGCTAGAGAGGGAAACAATTCTAGAGAAATGAAGTGGATGTATCGAATGAGTCCTCTCTCTCTCTCTCACTCAATATATATGTAGGATGTATCGAATGAGTCCTCTCTCTCTCACTTACTCAATATATATGTAGGATGTAACCTGATGGATTGCTCAGATGCAACCCCTAGATCCAACGGTGAAGATGAAGCCTCTCAAAAGACGTGGATCCAAGAGCTGGGTCGGAGCAGCAGTTCGGTGCTGGGTTAAGGTAAGTGGTGCGGGTCAAGGTGTGGGCTCGGCTCATGGATCTGAGAAGTGGGCCAGAGCCATGGATTGTTGGACTGCTAATTAAGTGTGATTGTATTTATAATTGGGGTGGATCCATTAGGACAAAAAAAATCCTACAGTTATAGTGGAAAAGACAAAAATATCCCTAGTATTTAGGGGTAGACAAAAAATCGAATCGAACCGCCGAACCACTAAACTGAACTGAACTGAATCGAATTTTCGGTAACCGAGCAAATTTGATTTACAAGTACTGCATATTTGATATTTGTTCGGTTTGGTTCAATTTCGGTTTTTCATATTTTTTTCGGTTCGATTAACCGAACCGAATATATTTATATATTTATGTTATTATATCTTAAAATCTATATTAATAATTATATTTGGTTCAGTTTCGGTTTGGTTATGGTTTGGATATTTGATCGAATTTGCCCCGAGGATTCAGGGCGGGACGGATCCTAAGGCTGTACTCAAGTGGGACGGGACAAATCCTAGGATCTAATATGTTCTAACAAGGCGGGTCCTGAAGCCTAAAGATTCCGTCCCGAACTCATTGTCCTCCGTAGATCCACAATTACATATATCGTGTATTTTAGATTAAATATATAATTACACTTAAATAAAACGATATGATTTAGATGACCAAAATATTACAAATATACGTACATTCATATATATATATATTTGAAAATATTGATTATCACTCCTGCAAGATACAAGTTTTTTTTTTTAATCCCAAAAAAGTATACCAAAATAAATAAGTATTTCCTCTGTCCCGTAAAATTGGTCAATCTTTTCTTTCTTAGTCGTCTTGAAAAATTAGTCACATTTTCTAATATATTAATAATTAGTAAATACTAATTGGAATTAAAATTTTAACTATATTTTATTAAAGGGTAAATTATATAACAACCATTGTTTAAATAGAAAATAGAAATTATCTTCAAATTTGATAAAATAAATGTCTGAGATTAAAAATCTCTAGACACCGTACGATACATAAATAAACTAGGAAAATAAAAACTGCATACTGAAAAAGTAAAGTGGTGATCCCCAAAAGCAATTCTCTTGAATTTGATGTCGATTGAAGATGGTTTCTTTAGGCCATGAACAGACCTATTTAAAACCCATGTCAACCGCCACAACCAAGTCGTGCCTTCATATCCGCTTGTCGGTTGTAACTTCCCTCAACCGTCCAAAACTACTTTTCGCCCGACCTGCACACCTGTTGTTCCATCTCCTCTTGCCCGTCTTCCACTTGTCTGACCTCCGCATCAATCTTCTCTTTGTCCGACTTCATCTCGCCCGACCTATATGCCGTCCAACCTGGATGCATATCATCTCCTTCATCCGTCCTCTCCTTGCCCGACTTTATTTCGCCTGACCTATATGACGTCCGACCTGGATGCATATCATTTCTTTCGTCTGTCATCTCCTTGCCCGACTTCATTTCGCCCGACCCATATAACGTCCGACCCTATCTTGTCCAACATCCGTGTCCGATCTTATCTTATCCAACCTCCGCGTCCGACCTTGTCATGTCCGACCTCAGTGCCCGACCTTATCAGGTCCGACCTCCGTGCCCGACCTTGTCACGTCTGACCTCCGTGCCCGACCTTATCCTGTCCGACCTCCGAGCCCGACCTGATCACGTCCGACCTCAGTGCCCGACCTCCGTGTCCGACCTTATCACGTCCAATCTCTGTGCCCGACCTTATCTTGTCTGATCTCTGTGCCCGACCTCGAAATCACAGTTATCTCCCGAGGAAACCTTTTTCCTTAATAGCGCTCGGACTTATTCTTGGACCCCCTTTTTTCTTAAGGTTCTACTACTGTTAATAGGTCCATTAGACTTTATACCAATCCTTATCCCAATTTAACAGGCCCATTCTCGAAAACCCTACACATTGGTTTTTTCTTGCTCAACAACTTGCCTCCTCCCGCCCAATTCCTAAGTGTCACTTCTCGAACTGTGTGAGACGTGACATTTAGGGGTTTGCAGAACAACGCTATCATTATACTGCTTCGCGTCATATCATGGGGTTTATGTAAAACCCTTCTCTCACTTTTTCAAATTCATGCATTTAGAATTCCGAGATCCTTCTCTGTTATTCCATCCAGCTTTCTCCTCCAAAAACCTCTTCCGCTTCGTTTTCTTCACTTCCTTTTGAAAATGGTCAATCAGTATGTTCCTCTTTTACCTTTCGATGGGACTAACCCATCGGTTTCCTTCGTGGCTTCGAGGGTCCTTTCCCTTACCGTTCGCCCCTACTGCACCACCACAGAAGATGCTGATCGTATGAGATCCGTCATCTCTCAGGTTTCTCCAATAATTGTCAATGATGATGCGTTCAAGCCGAAATGTCTTCTGGACAGCATCAGGACTCATCTCACCGATCCAAAAGACGCCTACCGTAAATGGTTCGCGAGGCTCCTCCCCC